TTCTTTAATTACCTTCTGATCACAATAAGGGCGAAAAATCAAAAGCCATGAGTGACAGCTGCGTTCCTCAGTCGGATTCAATGCAGAGCTCCAGAGTGGCGTGGGAAGGCTGCAGCGTGTTGCTCGATATCAACGATGGCGACCGGCTCGTTTTCTCTCGGCTTACTTCGGGAGCGTAAGTGTTCATATTCGTCGTTCCCGAGCTACCATTGATTCATTCTTTGTGCTCTTTAAATGGATGATGCTTAGGTAGCTTCCTCGATTGATCTTTCACAGGACATTGAAAATTGGCAATAAGAACTGCTCTTTGAAGCCGTTGATTGGCTGCCCCTACGGCTCTTTGTTTCAAATTGAGAGCGCAGGTGACCGGACGCATTTGGCTAGAGTTACTCCATCAGCCGAAGGTTAGCTTCTCTAATGTTTGTGTTCTCTGCTTAATTGCATTTTACTGTTAGATGGTCTGCGAGTCTGAGATTTGGTTTTGGCTTCCTTTGTTCTTCCTTTTGCTTGTAGAGAATAATAATGTCCAAGAGAAAGGGGAATGTGAAGTTGTGGACGAATCGCGGGACAATCGTGCTTTAGTCGATGACAACAAAGCTCAAACTCTCACAGGAGAAGACATTGATGAAATGCGCAAGTGAGAATTGCTAGTTTTTGGTCTTTTCTTTTACTGATGTGAATTTTTCGTGAGGGAAGCTTTTCGTTGTTTGGTGCAGGCAGGGTGCGAAAGGTGATGAGATTATTGAAGCTCTGATTGCTAATAGTACAACATACGGGAAGAAGACGCAGTTTTCTCAAGTATGGGAAGAAGATGCAGTTTTCTCAGAGGCAAATTCAGAGTTTTGTTAATGTGATTTTGATATCTGTTTTCTCGTCATTGCAGGAAAAATATAGGCTTAAAAAGCAGAAGAAATATGCACCTAAAGTACTTATGAGGAGACCTTTTACAAGAAGGTAGCCATCTATTTATCTGCATTCTGTTTCCCTTACCCTTTATTGTTCCATACAAATTATCCTAGTTATTGTTTAATGCAGTGTTGTTGTAAGGTGAATGCTTTCCCAGTTGGACGTTTCTGTTTAGTCTGTTGTATTAGCAGGACCAACCGATCATCACAGATATTCTCTATGCTGTTTTCCTGTGGCTTGCGTTCAGATGCTCACACTTTTTTCCTTCTCATTGTTTATTACAGCATATGTGAGGCTTACTTCAAGAAATATGCTGCCAGAATTGGGTAATCTCATATTTCTTGTAATAGTTGATTTAATATTTATAATAGTGTTTTAATTGTTATACAGCTTGGTAATAGCAAATGAATCTGCTATCTGTTAGCTGACTAATGTTACTTATTTGTATGCGGAGCAGATTTCTACGTGTTGACACGCTATCCCTGTTGCTGTCTATGGCTAATGTTGGTGCAAGCTCTGATGTCCTTGTTGTCGATATGGTTGGTGGTCTACTTACTGGTGCTGTAGCAGAACGTTTAGGAGGTTGGTGCTATTACTTTATGATAATCACTTTTGCATGCATTATCTTGATCTTGGACCTGTACTTTTTGTCTCTAAATCTAGTCAATGACTGTGGAACTCTTAACAGGTACTGGTTTTGTCTGCAATACATATATTGGAAGTGCACCATATTCCATGGAAATCGTTAGAATATTCAATTTCAATGATGAAATTTGCAAAAGGTACCTCTTGGATTTCCCTCTCTTTCGATATACTTATCCAATCATCAATTAAGGAACTGATATAGTTAGCTCTCATATGTAGAGTGTTTAGGATTTGTACAATGACAATGCTAAATGTTAAGCAAGGAAAAACCTAATATTTCCTGCTCCAGGATTGTGCGGACTCATCTGGATGACCTGTGTTCAGCTCAACCTGTAACTTCTGAGCAAATAGATAAGCATGAAAGTGAAAATCATATGGAACTACATGTAAGTATCATGCTCTCTCATTCCCCAATCGATAGTCTCATATTCTATGTTCTATCATCTCAAGTTTATTCTTTTTGGTCACTATACATGCAGGATGAGACTTCAGCCATGAATGTGGAAGAGATGTCTGTTTCAGCTGATTGCGAGGTTGCTGATGCAGATACCGAGACTGCTCCAACTATCAAAATAAACAAATCACCTAAAGCCGGTGAAAAGCCATCACCTGAGGCCTTTCAATTGTGGAAAGAGAAGGGTTTCTCTTGGTATACTCTATAAATGGGTACTTACATTAACTAATCATATGAAAACACACTTGGATAAACGCTAACTTTTGAGTGTCCCAACTATCTGCAGTCTCATAATTGCTGCACCTGATCTAGATCCGTGGAGTACAGTTAAAAGGCTGCTTCCCCTTTTGTCATATTCCGCTCCATTTGCCATCTATCACCAACATCTCCAGGTTAGCTTCTTCAAACTCACTCGAATATCTACACCAGTGTCAATTCTCCACAGATTTTAATGGTTAGTCACTATGTAATTCAACAACTTCAAATGATCCTGTTTTTCCATTTTCCCAATGCAGCCTTTGGCAACATGCATGCACAATTTACAAGTTGAGAAATTGGCTATTGGTCTGCAACTTTCTGAACCCTGGCTTCGCGAGTATCAGGTAATGCGCATTCTCCAATCTCCTGGGATTAATAACTGTCCTTTGAGTGTGTGATCTCTTCAGATCACTAGTTAGTAGTAGTGGTGGTGGTGATAGGTAGGTAAAGCTTTAGGGGGTTCAACTTTTAAATGTAGGTGAAATCACATATATAATTCGTAACAAAATTAGAAATAGAGTAGTTGGTAAGGCTTTAGCCATCCTGCCAATTATCACGCTACAAATCCCTTAGAGCTTAGATTTTTCAGTCCTCCCGGTTCAGGTTTCTGGCTCCATCTTTGCTTGCTAGTTTTCTCATCCTGGCATTTTACCAATTCAGTTCTCATCATTATGCCAAAACATTACAGGTTCTTCCATCGAGAAGTCACCCATTCATGCAAATGAATGCATTTGGTGGCTACGTCCTATGTGGCACGAGGATACATACCGCCGCAGCTAATGGAGGCACACCGAAGCATGAAAAGGGGGCGCTTTAGCGTTCAGTTGATGGCCAAATAGCACGAATACATAATCGGCAAGAGTGTATACTAGCCTTACATTTGTGTTCCTTTTTTGGACCTGTTTCTGATCCGTACTTTCCTTTTTATATAAACTTGTAGCCCTGCAGGTCCAAATCCAATGCCTGAAAATTTAGGGTTACAAAACTGCACTTTCCATCCCTCCCTGTTCATGTATTTTTACCTTTGTGTTAGTTATTTACGGTATCCTTATATAACATCTGCTCAATCAGTGAACTCCCAGGGGCGTTTGATTGTTGCCTACAGTGAACAACAGCAAAAGAGGACTCTTACCAATGACCCTGGAGGCATGGGAATGGGTCGTAGTTTCGGACTTATTCAGGTGGGCTAACCCAAAATGAGTCCGTCGTCCAATTTGGGCCTAATCAAACTTGGCGCACCTTAATACAGTAGAAGAGGGAGTTTTGGAACTCCCAATCTAGCCCATCTTCAACTCTCGCAGAAGAGGGAGTTTTTGAAGGTTCGGAGTGGTTTTGGGTGGTTGCCGGCGATTGTTTGTCGGCCATGGCGCGTTTTTCTAACGTCCCTTGATCCGGTTCCATTATCCAGATAATCTCGCGTAGTCGTGGGTATCACTAACACATGTATACATATCGGCGCATAAGTCTCGGAAACAGAGGTTACTAAGGGAAGCGGGTAGTTTTGATATGTTCTCTGTTTTCCCTTGCTCTGGTTTCTTTGTTCGTGTGCTTCAGTAGTCGTGGGCAACACCCACGCATGAGGAGCATATGAAGGTTTGTTTATTCTGCATTGCTTCGCTTTCTGGTCGCCCTCGTGTCTTCGATGCTCAAGAATTGGGGATCTCGATCGCAACCACGATTGTTGATCCTGAGGAAGTCGTGGGCGTCCGCCACACTCTTGTTGATTGGTGGTTACCCTTTTTAAGGAGTGTATTTCTTCCTTCCAAAGCCTATATGCTTTTGTTCTTTACTTGTAGGATGGAAATGTTTTTTTTCTTCTACAAGTAGTATACTTGCTGTGGCGGCTTTGGACAACGGATTATGACTTCGCTAGGTTGATCATTCGGGTTTTCATTTGGATCTTTGGAAGGCTTCTGCAACTCGAGCGGCCACGGTGGACTTTGCTCATTGCATGAGTTATGTCGTTCGGGTTGTTTTTGCGGGTGTTGTAGTTTGTACTTTTCTGGGTTCGATGATTTATGTTCCATGGTTATAGAGCGGCTCATTTGGTGGTCATTCAGGCTCTGTTCTTGTCACCTCATTTCTTTGAGGTTCGACTTTGTTTCTTTGTTTCGCAGTAGGCATGTTTCATGGTTGCATGTTTACTTACATTTCTGTTTCCTGTTTTTTAGAAAACAGATGTTGAAAACATGTGAAAACAACATTTTGTCATTTCCGAAAACATCAGCTTTCAGAGTTGGAAATGAATAGAAAACATAATGAAAAGTAACCATGTTTTCTCGTTTCGATTGCCAAATTTATTGCATGAAAACAGAAAATAGAATCTTGGTTTTGCTAGTAGGTGTATTTAAGTTACTGGGCCTGGATGTATAGTTTGTACTTTCGAACCTCCTCCGGGGGGCCAGCTCAGTCTTGGCCCAACAAAATCCCTTTATTTATTGTTTTTTTGTTTTCGTTGATTGCATTTTTCATAATTCGCTTTGGAAAATAATGTATCACACGATGAGCAGTTGAATTCATACCCACGAAAAAAAGAAAAATTATAATAATTGATGGAACAAATAAGACGGTGATAGAAACGTAATGGTTTCGATTTCTAGCTCCCGTCTTTTTTCAATAGATGGGAAATTATTTCAATTTTTCCGCTTTTGGGTCTATTTTCCGTTCCAGAAGTCCATTCCCCAAACTAATTGCCGCCTGTTTCTATACAAAAACTCCTCATTCTTCCGTTCCGCTCCCCTCGCCCTTTTCCCTCCATCTCCCAACAAAAACCCTTCTTCGCGCCTCCGTCCCTTTCTCACTCACTCAATCAATCCAATGGCCATGGCGACCAACTCCACTGAAGATCCGACGCGTTCAGCTCCTTCGCCATCTCCGTTCCACTTCCAGCTCCTTCATTCTCAGTTCCGTGCTCCGAATCCAAACATCGCCGCCTCTCCTTTCCCTCCTTCTCCCAATCGAATCTTCGCTTCCCCTCTCCTTCCTTCCGGCGAAGGCGGCGTCACTCGCAACTGCGGCAGCCTTCTCGCACCTCCCCCGACGGCGGCGACGATTCTCCAATCGCCTAATTCGCATCCTGCTCTCTCCGTGAGTTTTCTTTTCGTGTTCGTCTTTGTCTATTTTGACATTGTGTTAGGCTCATTGCTTCCTGGTCCGCTTTCTGCGTTTCCGGAATCTTTTCGGTGTTGCTTGGTTCCGGTTCCTTTGAATGAATGCTTCGGAAGGATTTTTTTTTCCTTCCGAATTGAGCTTGTTTGGTTAGGAATTCATGTAATGGCGCTCTATGCTTTTGTTCACTGCTTTGCTTGAAATTGGGAAACGGGGCGAAGAATTTTTGGAAGAAGGAACTGTGAACTGCTGGGTTCGTGTAGTTTGTATCACCGAGTGCTCTTTTACGTGTTAGTGCTTCCGGTGTGTAGAGTTCGTATCAGGTAGGAGGTTTCTGAAATGAATTTTCATGCTGATTGCTTGCAGTTTAACTATAACAACACGAGTGAGGAAGGTAATTTCAAGTTACAGAATGGAGGAGTTGTGAAAGTCCCTAATTGCTGGAATGCTGATGTTCCCATCAAGGGGAAGCAGCATAGCAAGGGGAAGGTCACAAAACAAAACAAGTCAGCGGGGAAGAAGTCTAACCCAGGTAGTTTTTCATTTTTTCCCCCCACTTTGTTCAACTTCCCACTTCAACAGCGAAGATTTTCTTGCATTTCATGATGAGCCTGTGTTCTCTTTGTATGTGCTTCACTTAGCAGAGTCTGTTGATGGTCAGAGCCCAACCAGTGGTTGTCGATATGACAGTTCTTTAGGTAAGTTGTTGACATATTTACGGCAATTTCTCATGTGGCTACTGTGATCTGAACGATGGGGTTGTTTATTCTGTTATATGACCAGGTTTGTTAACGAAGAAGTTCGTGAAATTGATCCAGGAAGCCAAGGATGGCACCCTTGATCTCAACAAGACAGCAGAAGTTCTGGAGGTATTCAATATATGTACCATAGTACAATGCTGCATGAGAATTATGGTACATTTAATGTTGTGGGATTGGGGAACTAATCGTTTCAGTCTCTTTTATGCTATTTTCCATTGTTCTTTGTTATCAGGTTCAGAAGAGAAGGATATATGATATCACAAATGTTCTGGAAGGAATAGGGTTGATAGAGAAAACTTCTAAAAACCATATACGGTGGAAGTAATACCCCCTGAACCTTCTTATCTCAACCCTCATTCTTTATCATCTCGTTTGTTCCTATTTTGTGATTTGCAAGTTCCACTGAATTGTGTATGCATCAGGGGTTTGTCTGATGGTTCTGGGACGCAGGAGTTCAATTGTGATGTCAACATATTAAAGGTACGGATCAATGAATGCTACATGAATTTCATTAATGATGCTGTTGTTTAGAGAGATATGTTAAGAATCACAACATTACTACTACTAGTTTCACAAACCCTACCCAACCTTTCTTCTGCACAGGCTGAAGTTGATAGTCTTCGTTCCGAAGAATGCAGGCTTGATGAAGCCATAAGGTCTGTTAGAGCAGAGGGGTTAAGTTCATCATGTTTATTCAGCTTTCAACTGCAGATCGATGAAGTTAATCATGTTTTCTCACTCTATAGGGAAAGGGAAGAAAGTTTAAGACGCCTACAAGCAGAGAAAAACAATCAGAAGCATCTCTTTCTGACAGAGCAAGATATTGTCAGCATTCCCCAATTCCAGGTCAATGGAATCTTAGTTAAATCTCTGTTTAACTTTGATGCAAACATATCTCTCTTTCTCCATCTAAGTAATTAACATGTTAGAAACTGTGACTGATGTTGCCACAGAATAGTACCTTGATGACAATCAAAGCCCCTACTGCTAGTAATCTCGAAGTTCCTGATCCTGACGGTGACGAAGTAGGAACTGTTTGACCTGCATAGATAGAGTTTTTTCACTTTCCGTCTCAAAGTTTAATTACCATCTGCTAATCAAATTGTTTAAAATCAAACAGGCCTTGGGTTCCCGCCAACACAGAATGATCATTAGGAGTGTCACAGGACCAATTGATTTGTATCTATTGAGGTATATGATCTACATTTCTAATTTCTGTATCTAGCTTTGCCAAAAATCTACCATTGGTCGTTAGATTCACTTCAGAAGGAACTCAATAAGTGAAACTCTCTTGTTTGAACAGCAAGTACAATCACCAAGCGAAGGATGTGGTGGAAATGGACACATGCGATGATGCTGGACATAGTTCCATCAATTCTCCAAACGACTCTACTTCTTCATCTTACACTCCTGGGATTCAGAGGATCGTACCTTCTTATGATGATGTAAGTATCAGTCACATATTTCGTCCATCCCATCATTTGATTGATAATGGACCTGCATTAATAGGTTTATTTTTTTTTCTTCTTGTTTCTACCTTATTCATCAATGACAGAATTACGATGACTACTGGCTTCGATCGAATAATGAAGCTGGTCTCTCTCAGTTATGGCGTGACTGAGTAGTCAATGTAACAGTGTTAGAGACTCATGTTGTGACTCCTATATGGTAATTTGCCATCCTGAGGAGTTTGATCTAGCTAGATATATGAATTACGAGCAATGCAACAATGTCTGAAGAGGTATTTCTTTTGTAGTTTAGGTAGCTACTTTCCGGGAAACTAAGTGTAAATAGCTAGTTCAGTTAGGGTTGACGCTGATCACAGGGCTTAAAAAATAACCGAACCCTGATTTCAACAATTAAGGGTTCATAGGAATTCGTTCAAATATTTGGCCATATAATAAATTTCTTCTATTTGTTGCATTTCCAATAATTATGTTCCTTTTATCACAGTTCAGTTCTTAATGCAAAACTTGATATTGATTAAGATCATAGTAAACTAAATATTCTTCCTTTTCCAAGTACCGGTTAATGGTTATAGGTATCTGAAGTAGTAGAGCTGGGGATGTCAACGGTTCACATGGACGGATAGTTGATATTCGCTACTTCTGATTTTATCCATACTTGTATCAATATGATATTTGGGTATAAAATTAAATTCTCATTCTTAATTTGGATATCGATGAATAACTGTGGATACTAATTTTCATTTCTCATCTCAAATAATTTCTTACCAATCATGAGCATATTAACCTTATAGAAGCGAGAAACTACAAATACCCCGTATTCCGTAATGTTGGGATATCTATGGTTATGGATGGGGTGGAAATTGGTATGGTATCGGTATCCCAATACTAAATACCAAAATCTCGAATACCGAATTACATCCTAAACTCAATCCCAATCCCAATTCCAAAATAATTTCGGTATCCCAATCCCAATTCCTAAATATTTTGGTATCCCAATCGGTACCTTGGTATCCCAATTGATATTATCGAATATTAAATTAAATAGCTTTACAATTAATAATTAAATATATAAATTAGATTTGATTGTTTAATATAGGACAAAGACACTAAGCAAAGAGTCTTGAGTTTGTGTAGAGTTAGGATATGGATAAGGAGAATGGAGTAGAGGTGAAATCTCAAGTTTTTGTCATTGGTAATCTTTAATTTGACGAATTGGGGGCTGAGAGAAGACTAATGCTAGTGTTTTCTTTTTGGTGTTGTGAAAATAACAATAGATTGGTGGTTAAGGGTCGTGTAGTAGTGAATGAGAGAGTCTAGTTGAGAGGATAAAATACACACTAGCTTATATTTCGGTATTGTTCGGTATTTCTGTATATACCGATCTCAATCCCGTAATCCCTAATACCGAATAGCAATTGAAATTGAATCTCAATCTCAATCCCAAGAAATAATACGTATATTCAGTAATACCAAATATAAATAAATTTGGTACGATATTCAGTATATCCCAAATACCGGTACTAAATTCCAGCCCTATTTATGAATATCTTTTTATATCCTTAAGTAGGGAGGTTACTTATCATCAAAGGCCGGCCCCTAAAGAAAATGGGCCATCATGATTTGCCCGATAGGCCCATGTATCTGTCTTAGTTGGGGAGGTTTGCGTGGAAGGATTAGTTAGAGGCTTAGAGCAGCTGCCGTTGACGTGGAAGAGAAGCTACGCAACGACTACTCTCTATACATTTCGTGCAGGCCAGTTTCATGAGTTTCACCTAACGTCATGAATTTGAGAATCTAAAAGTCAACATCCAAATCATTCTCGTAAGCCAAAAGTCTTGAATGTTTTGCATTGAGCCGTTGGGGCTTACTCTTTTCCAAACAAAAGATGAATAATCAAAAGATTATAGACCACCACCACCATTCACCATCAACTTTAGTCTTTAATCTTTATATAATGGCAGTTGGCAGTTCCAATAAGCTAGCTTATCTACTTAATAAAAACTCTGGCGTTTAAGCCTATCCACTCTCGATTTACGACTAATACCCTTGCGGTTGGAACCATGCTAATCTTCTCCATACCTACTCTCTTACCAAATGCTTACTATTATTATTTTTTATACACATTCTAAGTGAACAGTTCCTGACCGCATTATGAACTGCATCTTTGCACATCTTCCACTAACGGCATCTGTAGATAACAGAGTGAAATTCGCATCCTCATTATACGTTCCTTCCTCCAAAGTATTCTTCCTCCTTTTTTTTGGGGCATTTCGAAGTGTTCGATCAAATAAAGCAACAAATGGAATGAAGAAACTAAAGATAGACTTAGCAAATTTACACCTGCTGAAGAACAAACTGTTTTTTTCCCCGTCCCCTTTCTTCACCTGGTTCCTGATCTGGTTTTCCTTAACCTTCCACGAGTGACACGGAGGGCTTCTTCGATGACCGTCTCATTTGGGGCAGCAGGAGCACTCGACGAAGGTGCTGCTGCGGACTCGATCTGCATTGCTTCCGGGGCAGACGGGTTTGTCGGTGGTTCAGATGGAGCGGACAGTGATCTCGTGGGTGTGTTGGGAGCTTTCGGTGGATTTGGGGCTCTCGGTGGATTTGGTGCTCCCGATGGGGCGATGGTGGCTTGAGGGGATTTAGAACTCACCGCCTCTTCTGCTGCTGCTAGTTCAGTTTGGTGCTGACTCGATGATGTGCTGGAAGTGGGAGATGGAGGCTCCTCTGGTTCTGGTTTTGACCCTGCTGGTTGACGGCGGGTTGGTGGATTGGATGTTGATCGACCCCTGGGACCTTGCTGTTGCTGCTGCTGCTGAATAGAATTAGTAGTATTCCAAAGATTCACAGAATGCTTTGCTAGCATAACATTGTACACTTAAATAGCCTTATGGTTAAACCAAAACCAAAAACCATTCTCCCATCCCTACAAGCAACTACCATCATCTAGAGTTATAAAGGTAATCCAGCAAACAAACAATAAGGATGATGCATTATCCTACTTCAGAAAACTAACTCATATAACTACTCACAAATTGCCTGAAAAAAAAAAGAAAAAAAAAACAATGTGGTGCCCTAGTTACTTTTATGCCAACTATTTAGTCAGTCACCTACTCTATCACACAACAACCACAAGGCATTGGATTCTCAATGAAGACTCAAAACCAAAATAATTGGATTTTATCACTAAAATATAATCTCTTCCTGCAAATAGTACCTGAACAGGGCGAGGTCTTGGGGTTGATTGTGCAGCAACATACTGCAAAATGTCAAAGACTCTTGTCTGACCATAGCTCGCCGCTCTTTGCCAGTACAATATCGCCATGTCTCCAGCCCTTGTCCTCAGCTCCAGCAAGTTGCGGTCGATTTCATTCTCGTGTTTAGCAACATAAGGTCTGAAGAAAGAGTCATAGACATATGTAGTTCCCTGTAAGAGGTACACAAAGAGAAGAAATCATGATCAGCAAAGGATGAAAGTAGGAGAACTGAAAAAAAGAAAAGGTTAAGTTCTTATGATAGCTACACACCTTGGTCTTGGGGTACCACAAGTATATAAAAAATGCCAACTTAGCCTCGCTGTACATTGGAACCCTTGAAGAAAGCAATACCAGAATGTTAGGATGAACCCATGATTCGATCAGGTTGCATAAAATTTTGCATCAGCATTCAAGCTATAAGTTATTACCATGAAATAAAAGCATCTCCAATTCTCTCGCAAACAGTCAGCACAGCAACCAGAATCCTGCAGCATCAACAGAAATACAACAGACTCACCAACTGAATGCATCCTGCTAACATCAACTTAAGAAGTGATAAAAAAAGGAGTTTGTAGAAAGTGTACCAATATTGGCACCAGAAGCGAAGCTGCTCAATCTCCGGCTTATTCAATTCGACGGTTTTATAGCACTCATAAGCTGGGTAAGCGTAGCCAAAAGCCAACCTGCCAACTCATCAATGTTAGCTTACTTCTGATGATAATGCACATTATAGTGTAGTTTTGAGATAGCACTGAGTAATGGCTGATAACTTACACAAGTCCTCTAGTAAGAAATGACCCTAGCATCTTGTATACCTAGTAGCAAAGAACAAAGGAGTGAGGCATTAATAATCAAAGTGCAATGATGAGACAGCCAAATGTCATTCTAAACTGATATTGAGCTTCGTGGTCAACTCTAACAGTTAAATAAATCATCACAGAATCACATAATTAGGTTAATTATCCACAGACTTGTCAACTAAACCTGGGAAAACTGATATCCGAAACAATTACAAGCATCACAGCTGATTTGATATAACCAATTCTACTTTTTAACTCCATGTTTGCATCATCAAACAGAGCTTGGATTCATGGTAGTAAAGTTCAACAGTAAATCTCAAGCTAGGAATCCCTTTGCTCTTCAGAAAAGCAAAGGGAACAAGAAAGAAGATGACTGTGTTTTCAGCCTTGTGACTCCCGAAATGAACACCATCTCCGTTCTGTAAGAAGCTTCAATGTTCTTCACAGGTCCAAAGTTTAGGGCAACAAGTCAGCGATGTAAAATTACTAAACAAACACTGAGCAAGCAGAGAACGGAACGATCAACTTGAAAATCGAAGTTTCTCACATTACTATGAAATTTCCCCAAGGAAGAGAGCAAGTACAACACTAGAAGACCAAAACATCGCCATGAATCGTCGGTTGAAGAGGAAAATGTAACCGGATGTTGCAGCAAAATCGAAGGCTACCGTCACGAATCCGAAAGACGTAGATACGAGAGAGAGAGAGAGAGAGAGAGAGAGAGATTACCTTCCCAACGGCGTCTCGACCTCGAAGCTGCTGCCGAGTTCAAAATAGAGCGAATGAACTACACCGGAAGCAAGAAAATGGGGGGAGAAACCGCCGGATTGAAACGGCGGACGCAGATCACAGAAACTACCAAAGCAAGAGGGAAAAGGAACTCAGGCGTACGTTCTGATCGGAAGTGCTGCGAGGAAAGACGGCGGCGAACCGTTAGGAAGTCGGCGGTCGGGGAGCGAAGGAGATAGAGACGGAGCGGAGAGAGGGGGAGAGAGAGTGAGGTCAGAAGGAACCGCAAGAATCAGTAGTGTTACAATAATAATAAAAACTCCTCCATTTTCTGTGGTAAAAGGGTAGTGATTCTCTAAACACCAGCACACGGACATTTCGTGAGCCCTGGTTGAATGATCATCGATCACCCCACGCATGTCTCTCGTGATGGGCCATAGCCCATATGCTTGGGGCGACCCAATGTTTGGCACTGTTTGAAATGTGTCGTATTAACTCGTGCTTTTGATATGTTTATATTCGAGCTTTATGAAAGGATAGAAAATAAAAGTTGAAATGAAAAATAGTTAAAAAAATAATCGAGAAATAAAAGTATTAATTGAAAAGGTTTGAGACAAATAGAAAAATAAAATTGAAAGTATAACGCGGTAGTGATTTTGTCTTCGCGTGTTTTTTTATTATAAATTTATGCTATTTTTAGCTTCATACTCCAATCGAGAGACTAGCTACAATACTGAACTAAATTACTATTTATGGCAGTAGAAGATTTAATATTTCTATGATAACTTATAAAAGTCAAAATTCATTTTCTGTTGAAGTTATATTTTGTACTTTTTAAACTTCAATCCGCCCCTAGCTCTATAACCCACCCGTCTTCCCCAGTCCCGAGAAACCTTCCTCTCCTGGGCCTAGCCCTCTTTCTCAACTCGAGGCTCAAGTTCAACGGCTTTCATCGTTGACGAACACATGCGCTAATAAGACTTACCCATACTTCTATTTATATTAACTTTCTAAAAAAGAAGTATTTTTGGTGCTTCGTTGTGCAACTCAATTGGATCCCAAAAGACTTAGTCTCATACGACGCGAAGTATTTGTGCTCGTGTCGAGCCAATCCATATATTCGTGTCGTATCATGCTAGATAGCCCATGAGTAGCTCAGTACGGTGGACACATCATTAATTGTCCAGGTGGGTAGCACACCACTCTAACCGCCAAAGAAAACCAATCAATTAGTGTCTGATCAATATTTTTGAACGACAAGAATATGTATGTTTCACCGCTTAGTCGTTGTCCTTGCATAGAGAATTCACGAGTTAGTTGTCTTTGGTCTACCATGATGGAACTCCAACAGAAAGGAAACTAATTTTAGGCTTTTTAGTGAAAATGCGAAATAAATTATATCGTCAGTTGATTAGAGGTAAAATGATTGCTTAATTGTCAAAACCAAAAATGATGTGGGAGAAATGAGATGTGCAAGTGATGTGAGCGCGGATTTTGACCCAAACACAACGAATTTAAGGCTGAGATACGGGGTTGTACATAATTGCACTAATGTTTCTATATTAACGACAAAGAAGAAAGGTGCTAGCTTGTGGTCACATACTAGATCTTGGAGAATGGAGAGTGAATCTCCAATGGTGGTGAAGAAGGCTTTGGGGTGTGGAGTATCTCAATAGTATGAGGGATTTGTCCATTCCATTTTGTCATGCTTGACTATATTGTAATACTTGTACATGGAGGCACAACATCAGAAAATCATGTTGCTCCTGGCCTTTCAAATGTTTCGACTACACAGTACATACAGACCAAAGAGGTTGCAACGAGCCCTCTGTGAAGTGACCCCCCCCCCCCCCCAGAGAGGCTTATTCAAACAACCATGGCTGGTGTGTGAGAGATGCAACAATGTAATCTCAACGATAAAGGACTTATTTGAATTGTGGTAATTTGAAGAAAAATGGCTGAAGTGTTATGGGACAATCCAAGTACCACATCGGTAATACAAGGAAAAGAATACTTGTATATTAGTGTCCACCTAGCCGAATTTGTACGAGGCCTTTTGGGGAGGACACCCAATAGTAAAACAATGCAGGCTTGGCCCAAAGCAGACAATATCGTACTAATTGAGCTACCCAGTTATGACAAGTGTTATCAGAGCCTGATTATTTGGTTCGGTGCGGGGAGGTGGACGTCAGTTTGGTGGGACCCTCATTCAGTGACCTCGGAATTTGCGATTCGCGTATGTTGGCAGATCAAAGAGAGTTTTGCATCTGGGCTACATCTAGTTTGGCATATCAAAGAGAGTTCCGGGTTTTGTGGATTCAGGAGAGATTCATGTATGTTTGGCGGATCAAAGAGAGTTTCGCTTCTTGAAAAATCCTTGCATCGAGAAACCCATCGATACAAGGTGTCTTGTGGATCAAGATAATCGCTGAGGAGAGGACACGAATTTCATGGTCCTTGTCTTTAGAGGAGGATTGTTATGGGACAATCCAAGTACCATATCGGAAATACAAGGGAAGGAACCCTTGTATATTAGTGTCCACCTAGCCCAATTAGTACGAGGCATTTTGGGGAGAACACCCAAGAGTAAAATCGTGAGGCCTTGGCCCCAAACGGACAATATTGTACTAATGGAGCTACCCGATTTCAACTAGTGGTATAAGAGTCTAGTTTGGGGCGGTGGACATAAGTTTGGTGGGACCCTCATCGGTGACCTCGGGATTTGAGATTTGCGTTTGTCGTATGGATCCAGGAGAGATTCACGTTTGTTCGGCGGATCAAAGAGAGTTCTATGTCTGGGCAAAAATCTTTGTACCGAGAAGCCCATCGATACAAGGTGTCTGGCGGATCAAGATAATCGCTGACGAAGAGACACGAAGTTTGTGGTCCTTGTCTTTAGCGGAGGACTGTTATGGGACAATCCAAGTACCACATTAGTAATACAAGGGAAGGAACCCTTGTATATTAGTGTCCACCTAACCCAATTAGTACGAGACCTCTTGGGGAGGACACCCAAGAGTAAAACCGTACGGGCTTGGCCCTAAGCGGACAATGTCATATTAATTGAGCTACCCATTTACGACATTAAGCATTACCAATTATTTTAATTCCTAAATTTGTACAAAATTTAATATAATGGTACATATATTTCAAAGTTGTCAGGGGATACAATCCCTCTCAAACTAACTCCATCATTGGGAGATGTGTGGTGAACATCTTGCTTAGACATCATGAACAATCAAAGTCATGTTAAAAAAATTTGAGCAGGATTTCTAAGACTATGTGCATAAGGTATGATAATAAGACGTTTGAGAATGTACAAAGGTAGAACCACATACAATTCTAACTTCAAGATGTTAATATGCCTATGTTTGACTCGACTTTTAGAAGTGTTTTTCGATTTCAAAAGTTGAAGTAGAGTCAAACACCTCTAAAAGCTCGGTTTTTGAAAAGCTGAAAAGTGCTTTTGTATAATATAAAAACAGAAGCTCTGATTTTGAGATTATGTGAAAAGCTTTTTTGAAAATACAAGAATATCCTTACCATATTTTAATTTTATTACAAATAATATAAATTTCTTTCATTTATATCATTTTAATAATAAAATAAAGTATAAAATCATAATATTTAATATAAAAGAAACCTAGCGAGATCTATTTTGACTAATTTTTACTCATATTTTATATTATAAAATTTTTATAGTCATTTTGCATAACCTCTTATATCAAAAAACACTTTTACTAGTTTTTCATCCAAACACTCAACTAGTTATTTTGAAAAGTGTTTCTCTAAAAACTCCAACCAGAAGCTGTTCTACAAAAGCTACGGTAGGGCCAAACTAGCCCTATATAGTTTTGAAGTGTTGGTAGAGCCCTATATATATATATATATCTGCTATGAGCAGATTAGAGAACTATTGGGAGGAAGTTATGACTAGGGCCGGGCATGCGAGCGGATCACCCGCGCGTTTGGGCCGACCACCCGTATTTGATCCGAATTTCTTTATGTGGGTGGGTGACGGGTTGCACTGGAAGTCATCCTTCGGGTGGTGGGTGGGTTGCGGGCGGGTGCACGGGTGACCCGTTCAACCTAACAGCAAAAAGAACAAAGTTGTTGGTGCTGGAGAGGGGAGATTGAAAACGTTAGCCGAAAATTAAGGCTGCTCTTGGAGATTGAACCTTAAAGCCAATCTTCCAAATCGTGATCCCCTCTGATTCTTATGCCTATATCACCTTTCTTTCTTCCATTGAATTATTTTTCTTAGTTCCCTGCACTTGATAATCATCTCCATCTGTAGAACACTCCTAGATAATAGAATTTCCATCCATTTTTTTTAACATCCAATTCCAGAACTAATTCGACATTTCCCCCCTATTCACTCTTCTTGTTTCCGCGCGATAACTCTCTCCACCGATTATCATGTCAAGTTGACTACTTTATATTATGTAAATTGTAATGTGGGTAACTCGCAATTCCACCCGTATCATCCACCATCAGCCCAACCCGACACTAAATGTGGGTGGATGGTGGGTTAAAAATTATCAATCTGTTTAAGTGTGGGTAAATGCGTTTTATAGTCAATGCCCACCCCTAGATATCACCGCATCCGATATAGACGAGTATTGCTATTTCTTTATTGGATCTAAACACTCTTGTTTACCGGATAATGTTCATCCATGAATATATATTTCTTTTGGCTACATAGGGAATCATATCCATGATATCATTATCTACCTAAGAGATGATAGCGAAACTGAGAAGTGGAAAGCTTGTCTGTTACTTTCATTTCTGTTTCCTGTTTTTGAGAAAACAGATGTTGAAAACAGGTGAAAACAACATTTTTTCATTTTCGAAAACAGCAGGAAGTTGTCACTTTCTGTTTTCATTGTTGGAAACGAATAGAAAACGGAATGAAAAGTAAACAAGTTTTTGTGTTTCGGTTGCCAAATTTATGACATGAAAATAGAAAATACGAAACGAAAAATGAAAGTGAACAGGGCCGAGACTACAACATGTATATTAGTTTCCTCGTCTCTTATGACGAGATATTGTTTTTGTTACTATCACAAATATTTTATTTTATACTCAAACTATAATTGCTATTTTTATCTCCTAATTTTAGGGATGTCCTTAGACACCCCTAATTATGCTCTGTGTCCACCCCTATGCATCAAGCATCCATTGCAACGAGGCAAATCACATTGATAAGAGCTCGGAGGTGAAAATCCTCCATACCTCAAGGAAGATGCAATCATGAAGCGATTTTTTTTTTATAAGGATGATATATATTTTACTTTTTTAATAATTAATTAAGAGATTCGAACATGTGATGTTCAGATTTTGTGCTAGTGGTATCATCACCACTCCACCAGACTAAGCCCTTGTTCGTATGAAGCGAATTATCTTGTCAAATTTGGTCACTCTCAATTTAGAGGTGGTTCACTTGATCGATTGTAATGATCCAGCATTTACTGAATTATTCACGATATTATTGGAATTTCCACTCAATGTATGATTGATATTGCATGTCAAGATACAAAAGGTTTGGTCCAGGGGCGCCACAAGGCGCTACAACTTTAACGGAACTTCCCCACCGGATTCAGGAAGGCACGTGGTTGAGTTAAATGAGGTTGCAGAATTTGTTCATGACTACCTCAGCAGCTAATTAATTAATTGCTTAGCAGTAATATAGTATACTATGATTATAACCTCCTTCCTTTTGCGTCTTGGGCTCTCTTTCTCTTCACCCTAGAGAAACTGTTCCGTCGTCCCTTTACTCCCGGCCCTTTCCTGTTTAACAAATGAAAACACGGACTAAGGCTGCCTTACTTTGGTTTACAAGCTAAGTGGATAGAAGGAGAAAGTGCTTTTAGTTTAGAGGGCACGAATTTGTTACCTTGAGTCCATTGCAAGCAAAGCTATCTCGGGACAGGAAAGAACCAAAGGAAACTGAACATAAAAGGCAATTGTGTGCCCCAAAGTTGGAGAAAGAGTAATCGAGTAAAAGTACTACAGCTCCATAAAAGAGAAAGGGAGTTAGTATAGTGCGGCCGATGGACAGGGGAACAACAGAGTTACTAGTTTACTACTATAGCTATGCATAACATCAAGTTTTGCATCATATTACTCCGATACTTTTGCCTTTTTCTCAACTTACATACGTACATAATTTTTGTTTACAAGGTAAGATATCAATACCACGTTAACAACAACGAATTCAATCATGACTATACCGCATACTCCGCTTTGGATGCTTAAAAAATGTGGCCGTTCTTTGTTAATGGTTGGTCCATATGTTTACTACCCCATAGCAGCAGTGAAGTGGGGTATTTGCCAATGCATGCACAGTACCCTTTTTCCTTCTCTTCATGTGCCCTGTAATTATAATTGGTTTGGTGGTGCGTCACTATCAAGAAAACAACCCTAGCTGGCTCTGTTTTTTCCACTTCACCCTTCTCTCTCTCTCTCTCTCTCTCTCTCTCTCTCTCTCTCGTTTTGAATTTTCACCTAAGCAAGCAAAACAGTGTGCTTTGCTTCATGACTTCATCAATCGTCATCCTTGTTCTTCTTGAACTTCATTCACATTCGCCTCACATCACAACAAACCCGTCTGCAATTAATTGGAATTGGACCGTGGGAAACAGGCTGCACACTCCTATGATCACGGGCCAAGCCTTAACTTGAAAAGAAAGAAGAGGCTTATGGGCCTTTGCAGTTTATTGGACCCTCGGCCTCGTGCAAATGGAAATGCGTCCATCCGCCCGCCCGTCCACGTGGATTTTGTGGCTGGGAGGAAGGAGGAGGACAGCGTGGATGATATGCGAGCTCCAGAAACAGACAGTCCTTTCCTTCCTTCTTTTCCCCGCTCACTCTCATTACCGCCATAGCCACTTGATAAATCAGAGAGCTCCAAGACAAAATGCCCTTAGGAGCAGCACCAGCAGCAGTTTCGTTTCCACGCCTGCAATCCCCATTCCTATGCTGCCCTCTCAAATCCCCGTGTTTGTCTCCTTTCAAGTCCGCGAGAAGCTTCACCTTTCAATCCCCCCGGCGACCGTCGTCGACGCCTTATCCCCGCGTTAGAGCCGCTGATCTCGACGCCAACACGGTATCTCCCTTCCTTCCGTTGTTCCTCGTATTTGGGATCCGAATTTCTCACTCAATTGTGGTAATGGTGATGGAATTCATGAATTTCTGGGGTGTTAAATCGTTCTCCAGATTACAGCATTATCCGTTGGGCTAGTGAGCGTGGCAGTGGGAATTGGCATTCCAGTGTTCTACGAATCCCAAATTAATAATGCTGTGAGCAATTCTTAATCTCCCTTGAACTGTAACTAGACTATGTATTAGATGCATTAGTTTCTGCTTTATGGTTTGTGGGTTCGATTTGATTTTTGGGCATATTTTGGGGTAACTTGCAGTCAAAGAGGGACAACACTCAGCCTTGTTTCCCCTGTAGTGGCTCTGGTGCCCGTAAGTAAACCCTTCTCTGCAATGCCTTCTCTTCCTTAGCTAGCCTTGTTCACGTTTTGATTGATCAAACTCTGTTCAATGTTGCCATGGAGAGAACTTTCAAATATCCAACTGCATTGAGTGTTAGGCAAAATGGCTATAGCCTATAAGCAAAAACCATTGCAACTGAATGTACATTCATGTCGCCCTAGACAAACATGCCTTTCATCGTTGAATGATTGAACATGGTTCCTCTCTTACCTTACTGCTGGGAATTGGAATTGGCTTCATGGCCAGAGAGATGCAGATTTTGTGAGGGAAGTGGTTCGGTGACGGTGGACCTAGGAGGGGGTGAGAAAGAAGTGTCTCCATGCATCAACTGTGATAGTGCTGGTTCTTTGACTTGCACCACATGCCAAGGCTCCGGGATTCAGCCTCGATACCTTGATCGAAGGTACTCTCAACCTATCACGATGAATGAATGGTGAACTGTTGTTTTTTCAGGCTTTTGTGAATCTTGTGCAGCAAGCAAGTCTTAGGTTTCTTCAGTTTAGTTTCAATCACACATCATAGTGAATGAACGATGGGAAGTTTGGTCTTTTGTGTGTTTCTGACAGGGAATTCAAAGACGATGACTGATTTACTACGTTACATTTGATTCCAAGAACTCGATACGTTCTGGTCCCAACTCAGAACATATGGAAGAGAAGATCCAACAGTTCTTTTTACCAGTCTTCCTGTAACCTTGCATCAGTGTGCCTCCCGCAACAACTCTTTTTATAGAGCTTTTTTTGTATAATTCTGTACTCTTGTTACACTGTTGATACTGTACAATTTTCGTTCTTGTTGCGACCAAATTGTATAAAGTGATGTTCATGATCCGTACTATGCTTGGCTCTAAGTTAAGAACACAAGGTTTGGTGGCAATTCATATCCATACTAATCAATGCAGAAAACCAGAGGACAAAAACAAGAAAAGAGCAAGTGAAGTAGAAAAACTCAAAATCGGGGACAGATTGACAGAATGAATATGCATAAACGTTGATCTATTTCACAAGCTTGGATACTAACATCATTCATTACAATAGTTGGCCATTACCACTATCTGAAAACTCTAAAAGAAAACAACACTACAACGAGCAGGAACGAACAAGAAAAAAAGCCATAAACTGCTGTAGGGCTATCTCCAGGCTTCTTTGACAAACCATCAGCCATAGAAAAATACTCCTCTATTTGGCTACTGCCTCCGCCTCTGGGTTTTCAGCCTTGTTGGCTTTCCCTTCGAAGTAGTGACGGAATGCCACAATCAGAAAACACAAAGTACCAACGAGCCAAGGGAGGAAAACCATCGAGTCTGCATCTCCATTGACGTCCCTCTTCGCAAGTAAAACATAGAGACAAAGGCCACTCAATGAGCTATCAATAATGTAGTAGTCGAAGGCCGGCCTCAAGGACAAGTACATAGAAACCATCATCAGGATGCCAAAAAATACAGTCAGAGCAAGCGCGGAGCTGTAGACACCACCCCAGACATAGAATAAGTACAAACCCATCTTGATTGTGAACCCGACGCATTGGGATGGAATCCCAGGAGGTGAGAAGAAGACTCGCTGAGCGAACTCCGTCTTCCTCCACTGGTGAATCTTGTGGAAATAGAGGAAGATAAACGGATATGCTAAGCCGGTGAGAAACCCTAGGAAGAAGATTCTTCCATTTCGACCGAGAGAGGTCTGGGTGCCAATTGTGGCGGTGACGACGAGGCCGGAGTAGGAGAGTAGCGCGACGATCAGGAACACGAAGGTGTCGGAGAATCGAGAAAAGACGGTGTAGAAGAGGGAGATACCAGGCGGTTTTTTGAAGCAGGGAATGGTGGTGGCGGGGCGAGCGATGATGGAAGGGTAATCGAGCGGGAGTGCTTTCATGGCGTCAGAGTTCATTTTGGAGGGTTGAAGAGGGCAGGGAATGGTAACAAGAAGGAGTAAAACAGTAATGGCGGATCTGGCCGATTTGGGTTTTTTCCCCCCTTCTTCTTGGTGAAAGATTTGGGGTTTCCGTTGAAGAACATTAGAACAAGCTTGTCAACCCGCGGGTTGACCCTGACCCGATCGAGTTAGTAGGTCAAGGGTTAATGGGTCAACCGTTTTAATTCGGTTTGGTCCGGAAATATAGAAAAAGTCATTATATTGTACTTACTACTTATTCTCATAAATTATATAAAGTCTTATCTAGCATATGACTTATAATATATAATATTACACCAAAATAACATAACGTACTTAGATCCAACATATAGTGAACCGATTAGATTGTCTGCAGGAGGCCCCCCCTTATCCCACCTCTTTTTCGTAGATGATCTAGTCCTGTTTGCTGAAGCCTCTCAAGAACAAGTTGTGACTGTTTGTTGTTTGTCTATGTTCTGTGATGCCTCAGGAGAGCTCGTTAGTAAGGATAAATCTAGGGTGTTTTTTTCCAAGAATACGAGAGGTTTTGATAGACAAAATATTTGTAACTGTCTTGGAATTCAAGAAACTGCTGATCTAGGAAAGTACCTTGGTGTACCAGTTCTACATGGCAGAATTACTAAGCATACTTACAGATATATTCTTGAAAATATGGACAAGAGACTCACTACTTGGAAAGCGAATACACTATCTCTTGCAGGAAGGGTGACATTAGCTCTTTCAGTTTTGAATGCTCTGCCTAACTATGTCATGCAAGCCACCTTTCTCCCTGTTTCTGTTTGCGAAGCCATTGATAGGAAAATTCGTAGCTTTGTTTGGGGTTCTCAGGAGGGGAAAAAGAAAGTCCATCTTGTTTCCTGGGAAACCCTCTGCAAACCGAAGAGTCGGGGGGGGGGGGGGGGGGGGGGGGGGGGGGGGGGGGGGGGGGGGGCTGGGATTACGTTCTGCTAGGAATTTGAACACTGCCTACATGATTAAACTCGGCTGGCAACTGCTTAATAACGAGTCTGACCTTTGGGTACAGGTATTGCAAGGGAAGTACTTCAAATCCAAGGATGGTATGATCACATCAATGAAGACAAGCAATCCATCCAACCTATGGAGAGCAATCAGGAAAGCAATGCCTCTGATGCAAAGTGCTGCAAGCTGGAGCGTCAGAGATGGGATCACTACAAGCTTCTGGCGCCACCCGTGGATCGACCATGGAGTCATTCTTGAGGACTCCCTGCTGAAAGACATTCCTGCAACTGATAGAGCCTCTGATGTTGCAAGCTGGGTCACGGATGAAGGGGAGTGGGATTGGACGAGATTGAATGGCCTTCTTCCTCCTTGTTTGCTTGCTCTTATCGCAGGTATGGAGACCCCCAAACATGAGCTGGGAGAGGACAAGATGATTTGGGGGATCGAGCGCGATGGCAGATTCAGACTTAGCTCAGCGTACAAGCTTGCATCCGACCAACTTGACTCGGCAACGGATCCTCTTTGGGAGAAACTCTGGAAATGGAAGGGGCCTGCAAGAGCAAAACACTTTCTCTGGCTTGCTTTCCATGACTTATTTCTTACGAACAAGGAAAGGAAGAACATGAAGCTTACCGACAACGGAAACTGCAGCCACTGTCCGGATCAGGAAGAATCAGTTGAGCACATTCTTCGTGGCTGCAAGAAAGTGGAGAGAACTTTGGTCAACTTCAGAACCTATCTGACTGAAAGCAGATTCGACACTCCCTTCCATCCGTGGCTCATCAATAACCTTTGTGATGATAATAGAGGAGTGGAGTTCGGCCTGATTTGCTGGCAAATATGGAAGCAACGGAACGAAGAATGCATGGATGGAGCGAGCTTCTCTGAAGCGAAACTGGCCTGCAAAATTGAAGCCTAGTTTTTCATCTTCCATCAGGCTCAACTGAATGCTAACAAGTGTTTCAACCCACCAGAGGAACAAAGGGTGGAGATTGATTTGGCATGGAAGCCTCCCCCTGAGGGATGGGTACAGATTCAAGCTGACGGTTCTATCCTCTCGCCCTCAGGAGGAGCTGCTGCAGGAGGGCTAATCCGCGATAGCATGGGTAGATGCCGTGCAGCCTACGTGTGCAACCTTGGCCACTGTTCAATCACGGCGGCTGAACTCAAAGGAGCGGCTGAGGGCTTACGTTTGGCTTGGGACAGAGGATTTAGAAAGGTTGAGCTCAAGATTGACTCAACTACTGCGATTGCTGTGATGAAAAATTGCAAGGAAGACAGCCACAGGCATGGCCTACTTGCACAACAAGTCAGAGTTCTTTTGGATTGAAATTGGAGAGTGCGCATCTCTCATGTTTATAGAGAATGTAATTTTGCGGCCGATTACCTTGCTAGTAAGGGCCATAGTGTTGATTTTGGCACACATCTGTTCGATGTGAGCGATCCTGGTCTAACCAAATGGATCAACTATGATGTTATGGGCGTTTCCCAACCTCGCTTTATTTGCAATGATAGTTAGGACGCCTTTGCGTCCGTCTTTCTACAAAAAAAAAAAAAAAATCGGAAAATAGGCGCATTTCGCAAACCAACGAAAAAAATTACACAATTTGACCTTCAACCCGGTACCTTGTAGCGGTCGGCCCAACGGGTGCGTATGGCCCGTTTTTCTCACCGGGTCAGAGTCAAAGTGGGTCGACCCGCGGGTTGACAACCTTGTTGAAGAAACAAGAGAGGTGAGAGTAAAATATCTTTCACCTGGGCCGGACAAAACTCGGGTCGGGTCGGTAAACATGTGGCCGAAGAAAGAAACGAAATTCTTCTATTGCTTAAACCGACGTCGTATCACCAGAGTAAAAACTTCAGAGCTAAAAAACAAATAAGAAACGAAACGCCAGAGGAAAACGTTATTGTGTGAAACGTCCCCCTTTCTCCCCTGAATCCTTTTATCATCTGGATTGCAGCTTCAGCTAGCAATCTCCAGATCAATTCTTCTGATAAGGGTTAGAAGCAGTAAAATGTTGATGGAGGCTTAGACTTCTATTCCGTCCTTTTGCCTCTCCTCCGACAGAATCACCAATTCTTCTTCTTCCTAGTTCGATTCTCAGTGTTAAACCGGTTTTCTCGGGCAGCAGGAGAATCTATACAGGAATCCAGTTACAATCGACGACATGGAGAATGAACAAGCCTACAATCTGAATTCGAGATCCTGCTCTTTGCAAATTGGAGAATGAGCTGAGTTGTGAAGATTTGTGAGTTTGGTAGAGATAGTAGGGGATAGTGATTAGTGGTTCGAGCTAGGAAACTTGGTTAAGGTAGTGTACAATGCGTCTGTGTTGATTTTTGGTTTGAAGCTCTATCAAACTGTTCCCATACCGTTCGTCACTGATGTTTGGGGGACTGATAGCTTCTGTGAGAAGCTACATATGAAAAGGGAGCTTGGATTGCACAATATTTGCTTGTCAGGTGAGAATTATAGCTTTGTGGTTATTATTGATTCCTCTTCAACCATGGAAAGAAGCTTGCAGCAACTATTTTGGAGAAGTGCGAAGAGAAAATTCCTGTACTTGGGTTTGCTGCTGTAGATATTCGAGTGAAGCAACCTTTGTGGGAGTCTTTGTCGAGGTTTGGATCCGAGGAAAGCCAGCATTCTGTTTTCCATTACTTGTAGAGTACTTTTGTTGTTAGTCAATTCTCTTTGCTGCTCTCTTGTTCAGGGTGGTAAGAAGAAGCATGAACTACCTGGGCTGGGTACATGATGATAAACACTGCAATCGAGCAGCGGCTGGAAGTTGTACGATCTGGTATGTAAAGAGAAGCCATGGTTGAATGCTACTTGCTTTAGACAAGAAAGGGTTCAGTAAGAAAGCTCTGGGCAACCGACTGCTGGAAACTTCAAATTCTCTAACGCGCTACTTCCTTCCTACTCCATTGTTTATGATGAAACATTGCTGGCTTGTTGCACTAGACAGAATCATCATATTTGACAAGATACAAAAGTGGAAACCTGAAGTGTCTAATTGTTGCCCACTATCTATCTATGTCTGCTCTGGAATCGAGGGATCACATCTATTTCCAAAGTGACCATGTTCAGCAAGTTTTTTTTAGATGGTGGTGAATTTCATTACCAAAGAACAATACACCAGAGGTGTACAAATGAAAAGAAAGAGGAAGATACAAAGGAGAAACCACAAAGGTTACAGATGAGGGGACAAGGAAAGCTAACAAAAGAACAAGGGGAAGAAGACTAACGTACATGGCACTACAAGAGGCTAAACATCCAACACAGCAAGCAAAACAAAACCTCAGAAGCAGGACACCATCAAGACTCCAGAACCAAAGGAAAAACCAGCAGAGCACATCACAACATCAAAAAAACACCTCGCAGTCTGCAATCGTGGAACATCTGGTTCTGGCTTGGATGCATCTTTTTCTCACAGGATGTGGCTGCGAAAGGACTGCTTGAACAACCAAACATGCTTGGGCATCGAAAAAACACCATAGCTCGCAAAACTCTGAAGAACGGATCGAATGTTGCCCTTCATCACACAAGCTGTTTGTGCAATGAGCCAACATGACCAACTGAACAAGCTGCAGACAAATGCGTAGCCAGTTGTTCACTATTTGTTCCTGATAGAGGAGAGACAAACTCGGGAACAAACTCTCCACTTCTCCCCTCTCTTCGTTGTAAACTGTTACATTCTGTTTCTCTGTTCCTAGAGTTGTGTTAGTGTAGAAACAGCTTCCTTAGGAGTAGCTATTAGTTGCAGAACCTCTTGTATAAATTTACATCAGTAATACAAATGAAACTCAGGTCTTCTGAGACGTTTACATGGTATCAGAGCCTTCTGTGACGGAGAGGTCTTGTGTTCGATTCCCGGTGACCCCCATTTGTTAAGCACATGGTATTCTTGTCTTCAAACCTGTGCAAACTTCAAGCCCTTGTGAGTGGCTTTCGTTTGAGGGGGTGTGTTAGTGTTGTGGTATATGATCCACGATTGAACCTCTCCCAACAACTCGAGTTATTGAGATCAACTGGTTCTTGACATGGTATCAGAGCCCATTACACTCTAACGAGTCTCTTCTTTTTCCCCTTCTTTCTTCTTGGTTCTTCCTTTTTCTTCAAACCCCGCCAGTATCTTGCTGTTGCTCCATCTGGCGTGCCCTCTACTGCAGCTCAGGCCCTGAAATTACCTCGTTGGCGGGCGGCTATGGTCACTGAGTTTGACGCCCTTGTTCGCAATCATACCTGGGACTTGGTCCCTGCTCCTCCTGACTGTAATGTTCTGTCTAACAGATGGGTGTTTGCAGAGAAAACGAACCCGGATGGTTCCCTTGAACGCGAGAAAGCCCGGCTGGTCGCCCGTGGTTTTGAGCAGATTCCCGGCCATGATTTCGGCGACACCTTCAGCCCAGTTCTGAAACCGACCACTCTACGGCTCCTGCTGAGTATTGCCGTCTCTCAAGCTTGGCCATTACATCAGGTTGACATTTCCAATGCCTTCTTACACGGTACTCTTAACGAAGAAGTCTATATGCGACAGCCAGTTGGATTTATTGATCCAGGACACCCAGATTATGTCTGCCGCCTTCGGAAATCTATATATGGATTACGCCAGGCGCCTCGTGCTTGGTTCCACTGTCTCTCTCAAGCGCTTCGGGACTTCGGTTTTGTGGCTTCTAAGTCTGATCCATCGCTCTTCATATACAAGGCTAATTCTGTGATTCTCTATATGTTGGTTTATGTGGATGACCTTGTCATCACAAGCACAGATTCAAGGGTCATTCAGGAGCTGATGGTTCATTTACGTTCTCGGTTTGCTCTACGGGATCTTGGTCGATTGTCTTATTTTCTTGGCCTGGAAGTTCACTACACCCCAGCCGGCTTGATCCTCAACCAAAGGAAATACATCCTTGAGCTGCTGGAACGCTCAGGAATGGCTCACGCAAAATCGATCTCCACTCCCTGCACGTCTGATCAGCTCACACAAAGTGGATCAGATCTTTCTCCAGCATTCGAGAATCCGACCTTGTACAGAAGTATAGTTGGTGGTCTCCAATATCTAAGCTTTACTCGGCCGGACATATCCTTTGCGGTCAATCACGTATCGCAGTTTCAACAGTCTCCATCGGATGCTCATTGGGCAGCTGTGAAGCGCATTATGCGCTATCTCCAAGGCACAATTACACAGGGCCTTCTCTTCCAACGATCGGCTGATTCCCAATTGCATGGTTATTCGGATGCTTCATTTGCCTCATGCCCCAAAGACCGAAAGTCCGTTTCTGGGTTTGCTGTTTTCCATGACACGAATTTGGTATCTTGGTCTACTCGGAAACAGAATGCGGTGGCACGCTCTTCAACAGAATGCGAGTACAGGGCACTAGCCACGCTTGCCTCCGAAGTCATTTGGTTACAAGCACTCCTAGCTGAACTTGGCCAATCTCCTTCCACATCACCTGTTCTATGGTGTGATAACCTAGGCGCCACATATCTCGCTCACAATCCGGTTTTTCACACACGGTCTAAACACCTAGAAATTGAGTTCCATTTTGTTCGTGATCGGGTTAACAAGCAACAACTACATGTTCGATATCTACCGGCTACTGATCAGTTAGCAGATGTCCTAACGAAGCCTCTCACAAGACAATCCTTCCGCAACTTCTGCTCCAAGTTTCACCTCTCTGAGGTTCCACTTGCGGGGGCGTGATAGAGGACAAACTCGGGAACAAACTCTCCACTTCTCCCCTCTCTTCGTTGTAAACTGTTACATTCTGTTTCTCTGTTCCTAGAGTTGTGTTAGTGTAGAAACAGCTTCCTTAGGAGTAGCTATTAGTTGCAGAACCTCTTGTATAAATTTACATCAGTAATACAAATGAAACTCAGGTCTTCTGAGACGTTTACAGTTCCCCCATCAACCCTCAATCATTATGCACCAAAGGAAGCACTCTCAAGTATGGCCTTGCTGGCCTAAAAATCGATGGTGGAGGGGTTGCAGCTAGCAGTCCAGGTGTTTAACACTTGCAAAGCTGGGTGACTTACATGGAACCTAGTAATCAGCGAGATATGGAGGGAACAGTGTCCTCGTCTATATGGGAGGAAAACTCTGTCTATAGATGAGCTTTTTGCGAAGGATGTAAGATATTGTGGAGATGAAACAAGCAGGCTGCCCTGAATTTTCTGCTGCTCTTCTGGGAAAGTCATTGTGGTTTTTCCACTAGGATCTGTCTCATTGTAAAATAGATAGTAGAAATATATGATGCTTTGATTGTATTGATGATCTCATTCATAAAAAAGTATTGCTGGACGAGCCATTCTATATAGTTGACTTGTTTCATAATGCGACTTGTGCTGCAGCATTCGATGGCGATACTGATTGTGTTGGGTTAACTTGGGTGGGAAGCCAGGTCCAGATTATAGTTGCAGGACCTGTGAAGGAACCTCCTTCAGTCAATTTCAGGTATCCTTTGCAATGCCTTGCGATAGCAGGCAAAAGACATCCATTGGAGGAAGATATGCTGAACATCTATCGACTTAAAACAAGCTATGATTCAGAGTAGAAGATGACATTTTGTGCCTCCTCAACCCCAATTACTGTTTCAATGAGCCTTTTGTAAAATCATGTTACTCTCATTACACTGTTGATACTGCACACTTTTCTTTCTTTTGGTGGTGTTTTCCATATCCATAGTCCATACTATCAACCCAAAACACAGAGGCAACAACAAGAACAAAGTGAAGTAAAAAGACAGGAACAGAATACACATAAACGTTGATCTATTTCACAATCTTGGTTACTGACTATCATTCATTACAATAGTTGGACATGACCCATGGCTACTTACTGAAACGCCTCAAGAAAACAACGCTACAACGAGAGCAGAAACTAACAAGAAAACTCCACCAACACTGCAGTGCTATCTCCAAGACTCTTAGACAAACGAGCCATAGAGAAATCCTCCTCTACTTGGCTACTCCATTAGGGTTTTCAGCCTCCTCGGCTTTCTGTTCGAAGTAGTAGCGGAACGTCGTAATCATCGACCCAGCAAGAGCAACGAGGCAAGGCATAACCATGGATCCATCAGTGTCATCAGCATTCCTCTTCCCAAGAAACCCATAAAGAGCAACCGCAGCCAATATCCCATCAATGATACGGTAGTCATAAGTGGGTCTGAGAGGCAGGTACATAGAAACAATTACCAAGATCCCAAGCAGCGCAATCAGAGCATTTGTGGAGCTGTAGACACCAGCCCAGAGCTTGACGCAGTAGCAAGCCACCATGATATAGTCACCAAGAGTTTTGGACATGAGCCCAGGAGGGTTGAAGAAGAACCTTTTGGCGACGTCTGTCTTCCTCCACTGGTGTATGTTGTCGAAGTAGAGGAAGAGGAATGGGTATGCGACGCCAGTGAAAAAACCCATGAGGAAGATCCTCCTTATTCCACAAAGAGAGGTCCGAGTGAAAAGTATCGCTGTGACGAAACCGGTGTAGGAGAGCAGCGCGACAATGAGGAAGACGAAGGTGTCGGAGAATCGCGAAAAGAGGGTGTAGAAGAGGGAGAAACCCGGTGGTTTCTTGAAGTAGGGGATGGTGGTGGCTGGGCGAGCGATGATCGAAGGGTAATCGACGGGGAGTGCTTTCATGGCGTCAGTAGTCGGAGTCGGAGAGGCCATATTGGGCAGAACAGGGTAACAAGAGAATAGAAAATTAGATCTGGCCGAAGAGTCCGGTTTTATAGAAGAAGAAGAGAGGTGAAAGTAAAATATCTTTCATCTGGGTCGGGCGGGTCGGTATTCGGGTCGGGTGGCTGCCGCAGGGGTTTTATTAGGGCTTTGACCTTTGTTTTGACTTTATTTCAGCTCCAAAAGAAACGAAACATTCGAGTCCCCTTTCCGCCTTTCGTCTCGTGTTAGGTTTTAGCTGAGAAGCCATAGCCTGGAAACCAGTAACAAGAAGGAGGAACTGAGGAAGAAGAACAAGGATGCTGTACGTAATAGGGTTGGGATTGGGCGACGAGAAGGATATCACCCTGCGAGGGTTAGAAGCAGTGAAGAAGTGTGAGAAAGTGTTCATGGAAGCTTACACTTCTTTGCTCTCTTTCGGCCTCTCCGACGACGGAATCGCTACTCTGGTAAGTGTTCTTCTTCTTGTGTCTTCTTCCTATGTCGATTGTCAGTCTTGATCAAGTTTTATTCCATGAGAGCAGGAAAATCTGTACGGGAAGCCGATTACAATCGCCGACAGGGAGATGGTGGAGGAGAAAGCCGACGAGATTTTGTCCGCCGCTCGTGCCTCCGATGTCGCCTTCCTCGTCGTCGGGGATCCCTTCGGGTGAGATTGTAGGAAAACTTCTCATCTTATTCGAGCTAGTTCTGTTTTGAAACTGGTGAATGAGCTGATTTGTGGAAATTTGGCAGAGCTACGACGCATAGTGATCTAGTGGTTCGAGCTAGGGAATTAGGGATTGGGGTTAAGGTAGTGCACAATGCGTCTGTGATGAATGCGATTGGGATTTGTGGATTGCAGCTCTATCGTTATGGCGAGACTGTTTCGATTCCGTTCTTCACTGATGTTTGGAGGCCTGATAGCTTCTATGAGAAGATACAGAAGAATAGGGAGCTTGGATTGCATACTCTCTGCTTGCTAGGTGAGAATTAGATGTTTGTGGTTGATCCTCTTCAGCCACAGAAACTTGCTGCAAGTTTTTTTTTTGTTAATATTATGAGAAATTCTTACATTTGGGTTTGTTTCTGTAGATATTCGAGTGAAGGAGCCTTCGTGGGAGTCCTTGTCGAGGTTTGGATACGCAGAAAGCAACCATTGTGTTTCCGCCTTTCGGTTACCTGTAGATTACTTTTGTTCTTAAACCGATTCTCTCTGCTTGCTTTTCTATTCAGGGGGAAGAAGAAGTATGAACCACCAAGGTACATGACTATAAACACTGCAATCGAGCAGCTGCTGGAAGTTCTACAAAAGCGCGAAGGGTCTGGTATGTAAAGAGAAACCCTAGAAATCAAAATACATGTTTGAATGCCAATTGCTTTGTTCTAAAAGTCTTCGGTCAGAAAGCTTTAAGCAAGCTTCCATGTCAATGGGTTCCTGCATTGGACATCATTGCCTAGCAATTGATTGCCAAAAACTTAAGGTCCCCACTATGAGCTGAAAAAACTTCCTTATGCTCATTGTTCATGCTGCAAAATTACAGGATTGTTCTGATGTCATGATAAGAATATGTATGCTGGATTAATCAGTTTAGTTGACTGTTCCGAAATGTGACTTGTTCTGCAGCATATGATGAAGATACCGATTGTGTTGGGTTTGCTCGGGTGGGAAGTGAGGACCAGAAGATAGTTGTTGGGCCAATGAGGCAACTACTTTCAGTCGATTTTGGTTCACCATTGCATTGCCTTGTGATAACAGGCCAGACACATCCATTGGAGGAAGAAATGCTGAACATCTACCGGCTTAATACAAACAATGATTCAGGCCAGAAAGTTAAAAAGAGTGTATAATTTCCTTGGTTGTCGAAGCAACAATTGTAATTTGTAATTTGATGACTCGAGTTGTAACAGAAATCCCATTTATGGAACCTTGAAATCTTGTTTTGCCTATCCCTCGGAGAAATTGAGCCACACATGATTTGCTAAAATGATTTTGGCGCCATTTTGTTACTTAATGACATGACAAGCAACATTTCATTTGTCGTCAATTTATAGAACTCTTCAGATGAGCAGGTCAAGTCTCTTTTGTGGCATTGACCTCCATTTCTAAGCATATGATCCTGGTTTTGAGTTAGGTGAGAGGCATCAAAGGATGGTCAAAGGTGAAGTCTCTCTATGGTCATCTGATTAGCTATCAGGCAGTAGGGCAGTAAAGGAAACAATTACAATGGTTTTTAGCAGCAATAGCTATCTGAGCTGCTATAATCTGATCCATTAGTTTGAACTTCGTCAGTAACTCTATCAACAAGCTCTCTAGTAAAACGACTACACATCTATGGCCACATGACTCTAAAACCCGAAAAGCGTCGAAAAATTAAACCCACCACACTTACCCTGCAACCAAGCCAACCTGAACGCATCACCTTTCAACGACATAAACGTCTCCCTCAAGCTGGGATCGTCGAAGAGATCCAGTGCAGAAAAGTAGAGTCTTTGGTCGACACCCTTAATCTCATCCAAAGCTCTGATGCAACTGGTTATGCTATACCTTTCATCCCTCCTCTGAGTTTTCGCAGCCGTTTCCCTCTCTTTGAAAGCTGCGATCATTTCATGTAAAGCTGCAGCAACAGATTCACGCTGTTCATCACCACCTCCGTCCTGCTCCAATTCCAGATGTGTTTCGGATGGCTGCTTCCTTTTCCTCTCTCCTACGGACTTAACAGTTTTTTCTGAGGGTTGTAGTACTGGTATTGGAGTTGGGGGATCTTCTTCATTCTCAGGATGGGATGCTTCTGGACAAGGAACTGCATGTGTTGCACCATTATCCAGTCCTTCAAAGTGACTGGATTGAGCATATTTCCCATCTACCGATGTATCTGAAAATATCGTGCACAGTTGACCGTATATTGGGCAGTCCTTGACTTTGCCCGTCTCCTGCCTGACTGGTGTCTGGAACTCAGAAGAAGAAGCGGATGTAACAAACAGAACGCAATGAGAATTAAAATAGTCAGACTTTAGAAGCAAAAATGAACGCACCGAGCAGTCTTCCCATAGGTCAAATGCAATGCAGCAAGACTCATCAATTGCAGCAAAGTCAGTTTGAGCAGAGGAAGACGACTTTGTTAGGCTGAAGAAGCGTGTCCGGAGGACATCAAAGTGTTTTCTCAACTGGTTGTTGTTGAAATTGAGATCGGTTTGTTTGTTGAATTCGTTTCGGATGGTGTTCCAAGTCTTCTTATCAAAGACATTGTTTCTTCTGTTTCCAAGCTGAATCTGCTTCACAACCAAGTCAGCAAATACCTTATCAAGCGCCGGTGTCCACCTTGTTCTGGCTCGTTCTTGTTTCGTGTGATTAATTGGTTGCACCTCCATCTACAACAAGCAACTGTGCAGTTGAAATGATTTGATACAACAATGATAGGGTCTATAACAGCAACAGAAAGTACTACGTAATGAGCTGAAAGATTGAACATAACAACTGAATCATAACGAGTATATTAGCCAAGTAAGTTATAGGAGACAAGTTACAATTATGTTTATTTTCCTGACTTTGATAGGTAAATGCAGTGCAAGAACACCTGTATACACTACTTTGGAGCTTGAAAATTCTAACTTCAATTAATTGGATGTCCATAACATACTCTAAAGCTTCGTTTCCCAGTATCTCTTTCACCCCTGATAAAAAAAAGATTAATTTCCAATTAATTGATCGACAAAACAAACAGCGCATTTAGCTGGATAGGTAGTTTGACTGAAGGTGGTGCAACTAGCAAATCCAACCCTTCACCATTAACATTGCTGAAAAACATAGACAAAAGATTACAGGAATCCTTCTCAAAGCTCCACAAAGGGAGGAAGAACCGAATTTCATTTAACATACCAATTGACACTACTCTAGTGTTGTTGGGGAAGGTAGCAACCTATTTCTATGAAGAGGGTTCCACAAAACAAAAATAAAGCCATCTTCACCTAGTCTTTTGAAAAAGAAAAAGAAAAAAAAAAAACAACCAAATCCCAAATCATTCCTGAATCAAGTCCCACCCAATTGAAGCCATTATAGGTGGAAACAGATGGAAAACCTACGCACTTTTCACCCGATACAACCATGACCATAAAACACAGCTGGTTCCAAGTATCCAATTACCCTAATCTATCTAAATTGAAACAAAGTAGGGATTATCGAGTAACAGGGAAACCCCGGTGACTTCTTCCTAATCTCAATCGCCCGAATCGCAACCGACTGAAACAGAACCATGACGCATAGAAGCAAATCAAATACTGACAAACGCGTCCAGTGGGAAATTCGGATGTTACCTTCCCGGAGATGTCGCCGGGCAATCTGTAAGCTCACCGGAGAATGCGAAACAACATGCGGGCTGGCGAAAGCGACTGTCCTTTCACCTAATAAACGGAAGACCTCCGTTCCTTCAATTTTTCCAGTTGGCAGGATCTCTTGAAAGGCCCAACATACAGAAGTCCATCGCGCTAGAAAAGATTGGGCCTTCATAAGAAGTCCTTTCCCAATGGGACCAGGTATCAGTAAAGGCCTGGCCCAACTTCATACTAACAGCTCAACTACTCTTCTGGATCATGAGAGCATCAGTGGTCAACGACGAGTTAATCTCCATAAATATGGCATTGTATTTCAACCACAAAGAGAAGGCGGTAACTAAAACTATGTCTCAAGGAAAGTCAGGTGCTTGTCCCTTACGCGGGTCACCTATGTGTCTCGAACAACAAGGGGCAGATGGGAGCTCGTACAAAAAAAAGGCTGAACTGCTCAACACGCTAAAAGGGAACTCGTTAACCGCTAAAATTCATAAGTTTTCTCGCATAAGGGGCGATTGTTGGGCCATGTGTTGAATAATACTGGGCTTCAAGGCCCAAGAAAAGCCCAGTTAAAGTAGAGAAGGGCACTCACCGTGGGTCTGCCTATCTCCGCTTATAACAACACACATCGTGTGTCCAAATGCGATCTGTCCTTGGATGGGCCAGGAGCTAGACCGCCTGACATAAAGCACCGATGGGTGACAAGAGGTAAAGATCTGAAGAGATACTTACCTCGACGTGGATATGACTGAGCATTAATTGCCAGTCGTAGGTTGGCTCCTAGTAGATGGGGCGTGCTTACGACAACTGACATGACATTTAATGCCCTAATCTCCATCTAAATGGGTATAAATACCCTTGTGAGAGCATTGATGGTAACTCAATTACCCCCTCTCTATATACCTAACATCATTTTCTACTTCATCTCTCTAATTTAATTATCAGAGAGTGTCATGTCGCCCATGAAACTTTGCTGCAGGGTCAAGGTGTGTGCTTCCCGTCCTTCGGAACATAAGCCTTGCTCGTGTTTCGACAACCGCATATAACATTCTAGACTCAAACAAGTATCATCCGATTCGAGTAGGATTAAGCTAGCTAGTCTTTGAAACAAGGAAGGAAATATAGTAACCTATATTAGATAAAAAGAATAAGGAAGGCATAAATTGTTGGACAAAAACGTATGTTTATCGATCATGTGTTATAATCAAATACATCTAATTAATTAGACAACCTTGTTGTCCTATTGTTAGGATTAGGGGTGGCTATACAGTCCGATTAAATTGGCCAAATTGATCCGGTCTCGGTCCGATTTTTTTGGAAATATGAGGATCAAATGTTGGATTGGGTCCAGTTTGATTTTTACCCAGTTCTATCCGAACCCGATCCCAATCCGATTTTGACCCGGACCTAAGTGCCAAAAAATTCAGCATCATATTACCTTTTATTAGAAAGCAGACAACTTGTTTATATGTAGAAAAAAAGTTAAACATTGTCCAATACTAAATTACCAACAAACTGTCTATTAGTCGAGTAAAAACCCAAATGGCATACAATATTTAGACAAGTATATTGGTATACCCTGGATTATATGGGGTAGGGAGTAAGAAAGTGTTGTCGGGATCTGCTAATGCATGCCAAAGTACACGAATGTACGCTAATCAGTAATCACTAATCAGTTTATTAGATAATTAGTGAATTACTTGCACTTAAGGAGAAAATTGTAAACATTATTATTTTTACACAACAATAGCGATTACTTAAAAAATAGGCGAGGAGCAATTATGCTAGTATAGTAAAGTATACGTCTACAAATATATTATACCAGAATTAGGGACAGTTTTCAACATTTCGAATTTTCTGTAACGAGAGCGAAAGTAGAAAGGATAATTGTGTTTTCACAATCATTATTTATTTTTCATTCACAAAAAAAAAACACCAATCTCGGGTTTCAAACCATGGTCTTCCTATGATTTTTCCAAACGAAGACAACAACCATTACCAGTTACACTAAAGAAATGTTTAGTATCTTTTTAAATACAAAAAACATCAATCTCGGGATTCATAGTTACTTAGTTTAATATGAAATAACGCAATACAAGACAAATCATGAAAGTCGGGATGGAGTTTTCATGGACGCCTTTGTGGGGTCATGTGCATTAGCAAGGTAGGTACCACAAGATATGTTTAATTTTTTTTGTTGAGGGAATAAGATTGTCTTTCAACTAAATTTATAGTATCTTGGTTGATAAATAATTTTTTCATTGCATAGATGAAAATTGTTGAAAACATATTGATTTTGTGTTCTTAATGTGATTATTTCATGATACGTTTTAGACATATACTGCTCGTTTTAATGCCAACTGACTCTGAAATGGTTGTAAGACCATTACCGCTATATGTTAGTATTGTGATATATTTTAGGTGGAAAAACAAAAGAGGATGGAAGCATATGCAGATGGGAAAGAGCACAATCAAAGCGGGAGTGGACTAATTTTAAAGGTCACTATTTGATTAAACTTGGACCGGTGACAGGAGGAAGTTCTCCCTAGGCAAGTTAACCATGGGCCAAAGGCCCATTCTTTTTCTTCCCTAGCAAAGCACGAAGTGATTTGGACCAAAGGCAAAGCAGCTCGGCAGAGGGGCATTCTTTGGATTTCCTGGCCCCAGCTGCTTCTTTGTCTTTTAGTGGCTAATTTTGGGACGGAACAAAAATTCTTCTAGTGGGGGGATTAAAGAGGGAGGAGGCAGGTGGGAAGAAAACTTCTTTTGGGGGAAGAGAGACGGGTCGCGCAATGCAGTCAAAATCGCGTTTTAAAACTTAAAAACTTACGATTTTACGCTTTTAGGTCACCAAAACGCTTTCGTTTCCATATAAAAACTTAAGTGTATAAAATCAGACTAAATTGCACTTTAAAGTTTAAAAGCTAACGGTTTTACGCTTCTAGTTCACCAAAACGCTTTACGTTTTTACGCTTTTAGTTCACTAAATGAGTATTCTTTTCATGAAATTAATTATAAAAAGTATATTTTAAAAGTAAATCACTAACAATATGATACATTTGAGATTAGAAGATATTAGGTACTTGGATGCATTTTCAACTTCAATAGAGTAATATAATTCACTAGCTAGGCTTTTCCCAAATCCATTAGCATATAGGGAAAAGTGGCTTATTGTTAAAATTTATGTTTACGAACTTATTATTAAGATGCTATAAGTTGTTCTACTTTAGGCATGAATCGTATGTATTTATTAACTTATCTGTGCATTCATATTTTGCATAGCATATGTCCTACTCAATAGATTTTTAGTTATTTTTCAGTATGCGTCAAAAACTTACGCTTTTACGCTTTGATTCTACGCTTTACGATTTTATCCCTTTTCCGCTTCTAGGTAGAATCACGCTTTTGACTGCATTGGTCGCGCGGAAGAGAATTGGAACAACTGCAGCGAACGACGAGGACGAGCGCAGCGACTGGAGCATATCACTAGTACCGCGAATCGGAAGAGAGTAAGATTTTGTGCTTATATTCGTATCAGTATTTTCTCTCCTTTTCGTTACTAGCATTATGATGAACAAGAACATGATTGTGTGTTTTATTTTCGTCATGAACTAAACCCCGATTTCTGGGGGAACACCATAGGATGTAGCTATTTATAGAATTGATGGATTGATTCATATTCTTTTTACTTCCAATCTCTATTGCATGAAATTACTTAATGCTTTGTGTTGACTGGCCACCAATACATTGATTTATAGTTAATTAGGTTATTAGCAACAGTGAAACCCTAATGACTGAACATATTTCATGTGACATAGTAACTTATCAAAGCGACAGTGGATTAAATAAGGTACTGATAGACCGTTAATTACACATGTTTTCACCCCTGTTCTTACACCGTTTGAGATGTGGGTTCTCGTGTTTTAGACCGATTTCACGCTAGGTTGTGCTTGTTTGTGATATTTCAGATCCTGGCAAGTGAATGAAGGTTTAGGAGCGAGTTCGGGGTCGAGTGGGCGAATATCGGGCGCGAGGCAAGTCACAAAGGAAGTCGCACGGGCACACCCACAACCAGCACGGCCGTGCAAGTGACCAGTTTGGCCGTGTGGGATTGTGCGAGAGCAAACACGGGCAGAGCAGAAAATCCACACGGCCGTGTGAGGATGCATTTTGGCCGTGTGGAATTCTGCGAGGCTTCACACGGCCAGGCTGGGTGAGCTACACGGCCGTGTGACCCTGGCCGTGTAAGAAGCCTAGAATTCAACTAATTGATGCGCTGCGTTTTGACTCACACGGGCAAATGGGTGAGCCACACGGCCGTGCGGCCTGCCCGTGTGAGTCGGGATTTTCTGGTTTTAAGCCAATTTCCAGCCACAAGTCGAGGGGATTCGAGTTTTAGAGAGACAGAACGATTCCTAGAGAGAGAAAGCAACGAACAAGAGTCTCCAAGTGCCCTAGCTTGATCTTCATCACCATTGGAGGCCAGCTTGAGCTTGGAGTAGTGCCGATCAACGTCCAGGAGCAGGAATCCATCCTTCACAGTATGAATTCCGCGTCTGATTCTACTTTTGCTTCTTTCTCTATGGAGTAGTTCTCCCATTCATCTGGGTATGGAGAACCCTAGATTTGTATGTTAGGCTTTGATTGTATGAACCCAAGTACTGATTCTATGATTTGATTATATTCGATTGAGGTTTGAATGATTGAATGACATGAATCCTGATCAAATTCCTGTTGTTTCTGCTTTAACCTAGAATGAGAATATCTGCCTAGGTTGATAGAGCATCCTTGATTGAAGGTAGGGAGTTGGTGACTTTAGTCGAGGAGCCAACTCACTATTCTGTACCGGATTTACTCCGGTAGTGGAGGTTTTGTTTGTTAAGGCCTCAATCTGTTTACTCCGGTGGAGGTTAGTCGCCCGCCTGAGATTCAGATTGAGAGGGTCTGAAGACCTTTAGTCGAGACTTCAGGCTGTTTAAGAACCTTCCGCAGTATAACTATCATAGAAACTGAACTTGGTAATTACAATCCGGCTTAACTGCAGTCTAGGGGGAACCATATCCGGGTGACCTCTCTTAACCTGAAAACAACAGTTTACTTGCTTTGTTTGTTTGTTAGTTTAGACTTGCATTAAAGTTTCATTGCTAGATAACAAGAATT